GATGGAAAAGAAATTCAGGGCAAGTTTCTCCCATCCAGACAAACTATTGTGAGCTCTGGGAAACGTAGGAAGCTCTAGGAAACTTAGGAAGGTAAGTAAGGCCATTTAAGAGGGTGGGAAAGACAACAAAGTAGCCTGAGCCTTCATCAAACCAAACACTCCACACAGGAGCAATAAAATACACCACACTCCCAGGAGATTTTGAGGAAAATGCCCCCCAAACTAAGAGAATTTAGACCACATGGCAGGGGCTGAATTGGTTCCTGGGTTTCTACAACAAAAAGTCCCTCCACTTTAGGAAGAGGCACAAGACATGGAGCCTGCCAATACTGGGAACAAGGTGACTCAGATTAAGACGGAGTATTGTATATAGGACATACCACTTCTACAGTGCATGAAGGACATGCAGTTTCCTCAGGCTGTAGTTCCATATGACAGCTTCATCTATGTTTGGCCCATAGAATAAGCCTGGTTTAAACCATGCATTGGTTTTCCACACTAATGATTCTGCTGACTGATAAAAGGCTGAGAGTAGTCATTTTGCGTGGTCAAAGAAATATCTTCAAGTTCTCTCTCCACTGAGAGTCTTCACCTCCCCCCCACCCCAATTCCTGCAATGAAATTGTTATTTCAGATTCTGATGACTTGAACATGATGATCACCATTTTTTGTTCATTCAGCAGTATAGCTTACTGCCCTGTTATAGACCAGGATCACATTGTGCTAGGCGATATACAAACAGAACAGAAACTGTTCATGTTCCAGAGTACTGTCTTTTCAAACATCAGTTTTGGAATCCATCCACAAAGAGAAGGGAGAAAACTCATACGAATTTCTATGAAAGGGTTAACTTCTTTTACACACACACACACACACACACACACACACACACACACAGAGCCAACTACAATAATGAATCAAGTGAGTAAGGAAATCTGATTATATGAAATCATCTCAAGGACACTGCTTCTATTCTGGAAGTAGCGGAAGCTGCATCGATGAAAGAAGCATTTTTAAGAAGCTCAAAACAGAAGCACATACAAATTTACAAAGAGGTTGATTTGTGGGTCAATTAAATTGCAATATTCTGTTGCAAAACACAGGAGGTTCAATAAACGCATGGGGGGTAAACTTCCAGCAGGGGTGGCTGATGAATGAATTGGAATGACTGGCAATAGCTGCCTATCTTATTTATAGGAATTCATTAGAAGAGCAAGGAAAAAGATATAGTGAGTCAGGAAGAAAGATAAACTAGTTAATGTTTGGAGAGTGATTTCAAAACATAAGACCTTGCAGAAGGGCTTGGTATTATCACCGGGAACTTATTGTGAGCAGAACAAAGAAGCCTGATGTCTGATGGATGCTCTTTCAAAATGTTTTGCCTGATGGAGACCCCTGCTCCACAGTGGGAGCTCCAAAGAGAGGAGTTAGATAAGACTCTAATTGCTCATTCTTTCCTGATGTCCTTCTAGGTAATTACACAGTCCCTCGTGATGTGCATTCCCTGCCATTGCAAGGTGCATCCTTGCACTCTGTTAGCTCAGTCCCCAACCTTTCTGATGTAAAAGGCATGCTGCTGTCAAGCATTTTCATGCTAAGCTACCACTCTCTCTTTCTGTGGGTGGACAGAAAGGAGCAGGAAGGGTTTACTGTACAATCCACATCTAGGCTGTAGGGGGATGGGGTCCACGATTCTCAAGGAACAGCAGCCAGTCGGTGTTCTCAGGGAGCACTCATCTTCACATAGGCCATCAGGCCAAAAAGCACAAAAAGGCTTCAGTCAAAACCCATGGAATTTAAAAGGCACTGTGTTGACATCAGGGTGCTTTGGACAAGGTCCTCAAACCAGTGTAGTGGGAAAAAAGCTTTCTTGTATAATTTGGAAATATCACTGTTCCTGTACTTTACTTCATCCTGGGAGGTATTAAATGATGCCTAGAAAAGAGTAATTCACCAAGGACTGCTGAATATATTTGGCACATTAAGTTATACATACATTACATATGGCCTTTCATCCTAGGTGCAGCTCCACACAGGAACATGGCTGTAAAGAGGTCGTGTGGGACCCGGGGGTGGGGGAGAGCAATGAGAGCCCCAAATGCAGCCTAGTCTCTGGAGGACTCTAGAGCCAGTGCAAGGCTGACCTTCTCTCTACTGGTCCAAACTCCCCTCCCCTCCCCCATCCCACCCCCATACACACACACACTCCTGCCCTGCACAGTACCACTGGGCTGCTTGAATTCATATGCAGCATTTTAGTAGAAGCAGCAACTCCCACGGGCTATGCCTCCCTCCTAAAAATGAGGATGGATGCAATCTAATTATTTTCAGCAAATGAGGTGCAAATCTGAGGCATCTGGCAAGTTGCCTGGGGGTCACTTGATTGAACAAAGATAAAGTGCCCTAGTGTCAGGAGTACACAGGAGGAAGCTTTCAGCAACCCTTGCCTCAAATAAGCAGGGTGGGAAAGAGCTTAGCAGTCCAACAGTGCCTGCATCAAACTGACATCCCTAGCACTCACACTGTATTGCCACCAATGTGACTCTGTACTGGTATCACCTCTTCTAAATTTGACAGCCAAAAGGCACATATACTTTGGACATGGCTGCAGTGCAGCCAGTGTGATTACAGTGAGGCTGGTATCTCCATTCATAGTGGAAAGCAGGAGAATAACAATCATCCTTTGCACTGGCGCAATGTCTTGAGGCAAGGCAACTCCAAGCACCTCACAAACTTAAATGAGATAATGCCATATTAGCCTCAGAAAACAGTTGCAAAAAGAAGGCCTGGGATTGTTTAGTTAGCTAGCAATGTGCAATCAGTAATTTTGCTCATGGTGAAACTTAGGCCGGCACTGTCCTGTGAAGAAGGTGACCTCCTTCCCAGAGGGTTTCACCGCATATGAAGAAAAGCACTCACGGCAGGGACCAAAGTTTATCCATACTGTGCAACCCTATTGATTTCTCAGGTCTTCCGTGGGTTATGTGGATGTAACTAGCAGTGAAATTCATCACTCCCCCCACCCCTTTGCCACCCATAGAATAAACACCTAAACTTGAATTCAACATAAATTTACCAAACGACCCAATTCAACTGCAGTTTTAATCTGTATAATTCCTAAAAACTCTCTGTCCTAGTACAATTATAGTAGGCAAGTCCTCTTCCCAGTTGGCACCTGTAATCCCTATTGGTATTAAAAGGAGCTTTGAACAGATAATAAAAGAATATACCTCCAGGTATGCTATACTGAATCTGGGCCCTTGTACTGAATCCAGGCATGGAGGCATATGAGACTCTCTGCTCCTCTCTATCCATCTATGATTTGCACCATGCTCATTACTTTGGTTTCCTGCAAAAAGTTTCACTCCAGATTTGTGTTTTGGGGAAGACAGACAGGGTATCTGTCCTTTTACTTGCATTACCATCATCAGCCCCACCCAATCCTCACCAATTCTCTTAGTCCCATGTCCTATACCATTATTTGTCAACTTATTGAAATTCATTCAGCAGTTTTATTTCACTTGCAGTTTCCTAAACCTTTCAACCCAGGCACAAGCAGCATCATTCTGACTGGATATTTCCAAAAATGGAGTGGCCGCCCTGGATCCGGCCAGTGGGAACACCAGCAAGGGGTCAAAAGAGAGTCGAACATCCTCCCGTCTCTCCCAGGGGCTGATTCAATGCCTGATGAAGTCACCCGGAGTCGTTCTATTGATGCCAACACATACTGGATTGGGCCTGAAGAGTGGGTGGGTGAAGGAAGTTTCTGGACTGGTTGAACCAAAAGAACAAATTTCCTTTGCACCTATAGAGTGAAAAACCCTTCTGAGGAGAAGCTGAAGGCTGCATTACTGTATGTGAAAATGCTGAAGCTGAATGGAGCCTGGGAACAGGAATCCCAGCTTCCCAAAACCGCATGCTCCAGATGGCCTCCTCCAACCCAGACCTTGGGCTTAGCATCCTCTGGTGAAGTCAGATGTTATGCAGGGAGCACTAAAGCACCTAACTTTCATCTCCAACTCGTTCTATTTCCCCTTCTTCACACCAAGTCAAACTTAGCGATGACAGAGTAATACATTTCCCCTGTCAAATGTGAGCTTTCCACATCCTCTGGCATGGGGTATAAAAAACCTCTCTAGTTCCAGTAGCTACTGGGGAGCTGGAACACTGAGGCAAAGAGCTAAACTGGCATTTCCAGTTCACATTAAAAAGCAGCATGCCGGCAGAGGAGGGAAGTCCCATCTCCAGTAAACATGCAGCATACAGTGTAGTGATCCTCTCTGGACAGTTTTGGGCTCAGCATTTAGCAACAAAAAGGAACCCAGCACGTTGAGGCTGCCCAATGAACTACCCTAGGATTACAGCCCAAGCTACTCAGTGGGTGTATATCAGCATTGCTACGAAGAGGAAATCAGTAGATCCACGCTGACTTTATAGCAGCAGAGGAGCTGACCCTCTACGGACCTGCAGCTGCACATGAATTGCCCATAACATGAGTCACAAGAAAACTTTGCTAGGCAGAGTCCCTCTCCTCCAGCTGAGAGGCACACACATCCACAAACTCTCCAAGCCAAGAGTTCAAACCAGCAGGTTCAGGTAAGTATCGCAATACAGTCGCGTTAAGCTATTTTTGCTATCTGCTTTTGTGAAAGCCACCACCAGTAAGTTCAAATCTGCCTTCTTTATTTTATTATTTGAGTTTCATTTATTTTCCTGGCTCCCAATATGTTCCGTCTGCCTCAGAGCCCTGTTCACTAATGCATTCAACTGATTTAAATATATGTGCATACACACACACACACACACACACACTATGCAACAGAACAATATTACTCTTCTCCCCACGGTATGAGCAAATGCCCCTCTGGGAAATAAACAGCCCGTGGTGTTTGGAATTAGCTAAATATCTATGGTGGAGAGTTAATGAACTGAGCTCTGTGTAACAAAGAACCCCTCCTCCCTGCCTTCACTCAGCCTGGGCTAGGCAGGTAAAGACTTACCTTAAGAGGTTTTCTAAGCCCTGTTTACTGGAATTTCTCCTCAGGATTGCACTGGTCATGGTGGGAGAGGTTGAACTCAGGGCAGGCTCACAGATCCTAGCTGCTAAACCTTCTTTTCCTCACTTTCCCCCACCCTTCTCTTTTCTCTTTTTCTTCTTCTTTTTTTAAAATATAAATAATCCTGTTAGTTCTCTCTCCCTCTCCCCTCTCTCTCTCTTCAGGAAGTTCTGCAGCTGGTTTCCTTTTGTTTCCCTAAGCCCCCCTGTTCCACCCCCCTCTTGTCTCCTCCACCTCTACCTCCTCCTTCTCAGCCTAGTGGAAATGTCAGAGAAAAAATCTTTCAGAGAGAAGCTTTGTAGTTAGAGGCAAAGCAAGGTCCCCTCCCTGCATGCATCTGATTGCTGAGTGAGCTCAGTGTGAAGCCTTGAGCTCTACAAGCAATGGACTATTCTTATATATTGATATCTGTTTCAGTCTCTTCTTTCTTAACTCTCCTTCAATCTTATGCTTTGCTTCCTTTTCTTTTCTTTTCCTCTACTTCCCCATTCCCTATTTATTGTCTGTCTTCTTCACTTTCTGGTCTATTTCTTTCCCTATTAACCAATTCTTTCCTAATTGCACGAATTAGAAACAAAAGCCACTCGGGGAC